TCCTTTGTCTCAACTTTGTGCAATTAAAGTGAAAACTCATTTTTATGAAGTAGAATCCATGTTCAACTTTGCCCGGATCCGCGTGCAAATGATCGATTCTCGCCGCTGAGATAATGGAGCAGCTGCGCCGAGAACACATTAACCACCCGTGATCTAATCAGCCGCCGAGTACAAATTAATGTGACATTATTAGAGCAAATGACTCGAGATGCATCAGACCGGGCGACCCCGGGGACCCTTTAATGACAGCGAGAGCAGGAGCGTGCATTAAAAATAGGAATTTTATCTCGGAGGGAAATTGATTGTAATCGTATGACAAAAAAAAAATTAATGTATGCTTTTTTTGTGTGTGTGGAAAACATTTCTTCTGTAAGTTAAGAAGAAAACTCAATCTGGCAGGATACAAGAGTCGTTTGAGAAACTTCACAAAGAGAAGCGAGTGGACATGTCATCTGGCTCTTAGGAGTCCTGCAGCCAAGTTTTTTTTTTTGTGTGTGTGTGTGGGGGTGTGTGGAGGGTTTGGTGTCACTCCGGTGGAGGAAGGGGTGAGGAGATAGAGGGGAGGGGGTGGTGTTGACATCTGGCTCTTAGGAGTCCTGCAGCCAAGTTTTTTTTTTTGTGTGTGTGTGTGGGGGGGTGTGGAGGGTTTGGTGTCACTCCGGTGGAGGAAGGGGTGAGGAGATAGAGGGGAGGGGGTGGTGTTGACTCTGAAACGTGTGATTGAAGTGCAGTGGCAGCCGATTTGCTGTGGAGGGAAGGAATGAGGGAGGGACCGACGTGGCTCGGCTGCCCCCCTCCCCAGAGCACACACACTGTGGATGGGATCAGAGCCACTCCAGATAGAGACGTCACCTCCTCAGGACTCATCGCTTTGGACCTAAACTTTTGGATAGCTGCTCTCTTTTTGAGACTCTCCTGATTTTGTTGGTCGGGGCTGGTTGAAGTCGGGGAAGGGGGGGGGATACTTCCTGAGAGATCTGGATCTGATTAGAGCGTGGATCCGCTGAGCTCGGTGCTGCAGACATGTAGCCAGAGCAAGTGAATGAGAGCTTTATGCGAAGGTGGAAAGAGATGCTTTTCCTGGAGGTAAGAGGAAAACCTAAAAAAAACTTGCGGGAGGGCTTTTTTTTTTTGTTGACTTGCACAAAAATCAGCTGATGAGGATGATCCGGCATGTGTGTATTCTCTGCTATCTGTGTTTGTGGAGCTTCTTGCATCTTGTGTGTACAGTCCTTAGTGCGTCCGTGCAGGTGGTCTCACTCCAGCTGTGTTAAGTCTCTTGTGCACCCCCTTGACACCCATTTGGCCTTAAAATAACACTCTCCAGCAGTCAAAGAGCAATGACCTCGGCCTTTGAACTCCACAATTTAATAGTTTTCTTAAAGCAAATCCCTTGACATTTAGGAAAAATAGACTTTATACTTCTTTTTTTTTTGCAGATTTGACCTTTAAATCATCTGCAGGTAACTCAAGCCGGGCACCAGTGTGATATTTTAATAACTTCAGAGAACACGATACACATTGGCACAATCTACGAAAGCCCGCGGGGTTGTGTTCATCCGAAAAACAACAGGTTCCACTCACTAATTCCTCGGCGAAACCAAAAGGAAAGTGTCAGTTAAGCGGGGGAAGGCGTTCATCCAGCTCTGCTACATCTGGCCTCCTGTTTACACAGAGCCGGTGTTGTGACGCTTTAAACGCCTTTTTCAAAAAAAGCTCTTTAACCTCCTTAACCTCCTCCTGTCACGTCTGCAGCGAGGCGCACGTCGTCTGGAGGAGGACGAGGTGGACATTTTGTTTTTGTTTTTCCACAAAGACAGCCATTGTGTTGTTGCCAAGAGGTGACATGGTGAAATGTGAGTTGCTGTATATGTTGGCTCAGGAATCCGCAGTCACCTTTTTCCTTGTAGCTTGGAGGATGAGAGGCAGCCGAGAAGGAAGGCAGACACTTGAAGAGAATAAAAAAATCACACCAATGCTGTTGATTTAAAGGCCCCTTAATCCAAAACTTCATCCAACTGCCATCTTGGTTTTAATATATTATAATCATGAAAGGAAAAATGCCTCCATCTAACTGCACCACTTACTGGTCTTAACTAGGTTGCATGAGATAAAGTAGAAAAGGTAAAGAAAAGCTTCTGAGTGATAACATTATCTATCCCACCATAAAACCTGATAGATTAGTCACTGAAGAACAAAGCGACGCTCAAGCACCCTTTTGTCCCGTGATAAGAGCAGCGGTTCGGCTTGTAACAGCGTTTCTAATCTGTAAAGTCAGTGTTTTGAAGCCCTGGGCTTTATTAGACTGTATGCTAATGAGGTGAATGGTAATATTTCCTCAGTCTTGTTGCTGAGGGTTGACTGCATGGTGTTGGAGGCCGACGTCACTGCTGCCTCTGAATGCAAAGTTTGGTTTGTGAGTTCAGTCGCAGCTGATCTTTGACCTTTGAAGGGGACACGAGGAGGAAAGTCATTCATAAGCTTTTACACACTTCTGAGAATATCTGGTAAGCAGAGAAACACTATTTTGGACCTAAAGATGCACCAAAGTATTAGCTTCCTAAGCTTTGAAACCTGCTAGCAGATTTGCCGTGTGAGTTATGGTTTTAAAAATAACCTAAAATACCACCATTTATTAAAGTCGGAAGCTGTAAAAACACAAAAATTGTATATATTTTTTTAGCTTTACAACGAGCATTGAGCTAAGTACTTGTCATGAATGGTTCTGTCAGGAAAATTATCTAAATAAGATCAAAATCGTAATATTTTCCTCAAAATCACTTAATTCTGCAGGTTTAATTTTCAAATTTGCTAAAAAATAAACAATTTGCTCTAAACAGATTCTTTAAAAAACAAAAAATTCTGGGCTCCTCTGCACAAATGGGAAGCTATTAGTGGTTTAGATGAGCCTAACATAGAAATTACAAAAAATCAGTGAGTATTTGGCTGAACTCCAGGCTGTGTAGAGCAGATAAGACACAAGCATGGAAACAAAATTTTAAAAAGTATTGGTAATGCCTTGGAAAAAATGTTGTACATGTAAATATATTTTTCCAATTTTTCTAATACAAATAATCAAATAACTTCAGCTTTTGTGTTTTCTATTTTTATGATTAATGCCATTCAAACTTTGCTGGACTACACTAAATATCTCTGTCGCTCTCTTTGCTATTAGACATGGCTGTGTTGTTTCCATAGAGGTTCAGGACTTTATATGGCAGTGAGACTTGAGTGAAGAGTGAGCAAAAATGTGAGGGGAGTATTTTGAGCTGAAGCTGAAAGGGTATAAAGGAAAAAAAAAATCCATTTTAAATAACCCTGGGAACGGCCTTGTTTTCTAAAATGGTCACACATAATTCAGGTCCTTCCCCACTTCAGTAGTTTTTGTACTTCCATCAAGTACCTGGCGATCACCTGGCACAAGCGTCCCTCTAAATGAATGTAACTGACTGCTCTACAGTCACCGTTAACAGACATAATTACGGGTCAATAGACGCTATAACGTCCCTGAGATTGCTATAGATGGAGCCTGCATACAGTTTGGAGTCCCAGTGTGAAGTTTCTGCCTGTTTTTACCCAAACAAGGCCCATTCAGGTCCAGATTTGCATGTCAAAGACACAAGAGCAGAGCAGGACCCCGGTCAAGAGTGGCTTTTTCAACACCTTGAGACCAAAGCTCCGTTATCAGGCTAAGATGGGCTCTGAAGAACACAGCCGCTGAGATAAGGAGGCTACCGCTGAAGGCGGGAGACACACACACAAGACTGATTAATCCCTCTTCATGTACCCGTCCAGCTCTTATCAGCTTGTAAAGATGAAGAACAAAAGCTGGTTTGAAATGCTGCTGAGTGGAGATCACATTGAAGGTTCTTCACCAAATCATGTTGTTGGGGAGATTTGTCGCCACTTTTTTTTAGCATTTTCTTGTTAATGCGCACAAGTGGCGATCTCGGCGCACATGGCTGTAAATCCCCGTTTTAGCCTGCTAAGACGTGTTTCACAGCCTTCGGGGGGCCTTGATAGCGAGAGCAGCAGATGTTTTGCAGGCAACAGCTGGAAAATTCTGTTGCGTCACGTTATGTCAGAGCATTACAGTCCCGGTTTAACGGCGCTGTTTAAAAGCACTCGGTGTGCCTCCGCTCACTGGAAACGATCCTAACGAGGTCTTTAATATGTGTGACTCCACACTGCACATGAAATAAATGCACAAATGTGTCCATGTAATAGGATTTAAAGGGAAAATACAGACTTTTTAACCCCATACAGCAAGAAAATACTGCTGCTGTAGCTCCATGTTTCACGAGGTGCACCATATTGGAAAAAGTTTGGTAGGATTTTCCGTTATATATCTCCCAAAGTTTGACTGAAGTATCCTTTGAAGGTAGACGAGTGGTATTTTAAACACTTTATCAGGCACAATTCTGCAAAGGATAAACGGAGGAAGTATGACAGAGTCCACTAATGGGATGGAAAACGAGGTATTAGTTATTCTTGTGTGACTCAAGAGGTTTGAATTGAGGAGGGATTCGGTGAAACGCTGAAGAAAAGCCCCGTGCTTTCTTCTCCGTTTGTTCCTCGGCTCTTCCTCGTACCATTTCTAGACGTTAAGTTAAAGTCTCAAAGCGCAGACGGGATAAAAGCGACGAAACAAGAAGAAACAGGGATCAAATCTAATTACAAAATGCGGAGGAATTTACTACAAGTGCAAATAAAAAACCCCTACATCAGCGGTGTCTCCAGCAATCAGTGTCAAAGAAGTTAAAAAGCCGGAGATTTATGTGTAATTAAGTTAAAAAAAAAAAAATACCAGAAGCAGAGGAGGAGGAGGGATGAGGCAAGAAAATGAAAGGCAGCCTCTGTAAATGTGATTCCTAAATCCTCCACCCCTTTTGTGTTTGGCAGCGCCCGCGTGCGATGAACCTGGAGCGCAGTGACAGAGGGGAGCGGCCGCTACCTCGAGGCCCAGACATGGAGGCTCGAACTGGGGGGAAGATGGGCAAGATGTCCGTGGGCTTCCAGAGGAGCTCCACGTCGGACGACGACTCCGGGTGTGCGTTGGAGGAGTACGCATGGGTGCCACCGGGACTCAGACCCGAGCAGGTAGGGCTCGTTTCTGGACATGGACCAGCTTTGTATTTCCACTTGTGCAGTCGTCCTCAAATGTATTCATACCGTCCCATTAAAGAAGGAAAAAAACAGCTGTCCCAGAGATAAGCTGAAATTGAAAAAAGTAATAATGAATAAAAATGCAATGAACATAATGACATTGATTTTGAATTGTGGTTCAACAGAAATATAAAAATAAAAAAAAAATTAAAAAACCCAAACACACAAGCGAACAAGCATGATGGGACCTGAAAACTAATATTTTGTTGAACAACCCTTTGAGCCAATCACTGCTCAATCACTTGAGCGCTCAAGTGTTTTCTGTAACTCTCAATCAGACGTCTGCACTTGTTGACAGGTACAGTCGTGACTCGATAATCCAACCCCTTAACAATCTGAAAACCTTGCTATCCGACAGTTTTTTATGAAAAACGAACGGAACCCATGAAAAGTAGCCTTAACATACCTTGGATTTCAACACTGACATGACATTTTATGTCACAAATAAGGATAACGGCGTATTATCTGACTTAACAATCCAACAGATTGGCTACGTTCACACTGCAGGACTTAATGCTACATTCGGATTTTTTTGCGAGTTCCTTCACATTTCCAGTTAAATACGACTTGTATGTGATCTCCTGTGTCAACGTCATACGACCCAAAAGTGTCCCACATGCGCAGAAGAGGACACGATGACGTCACACACAGCGAGCATGCTCAGTGTTTGCGGAAGTAAACACAGATGGTGGTGCCGCTGCTGCCGTTGGTAGAAACAGAACTGGGACCGCTATCCTAAACTAGCATCAGCCACCAAGTATTGCCTCTGTGTTCTGGCCACTTCCACCCCATCTGAGCCCACCCCCAGGGTGGAAGTGTCCCCCCTGACCATGCAGAATATTTGGATATTCATCATTAACTGGGCCTGAATATCCAGAGACCAGTGAGTACTATTGGGACCAGCCCTACTTATTATTATAGCAACTATGACCAATCATTAACAACAAATGAGCCTTCAAGCATCAAGCCCTCCTTGTATCTCGACCTTCGTCTTGACAATCCGACAGCTTTGCTATCCGACATAAAAGAAGGTTTTACATTTAGTGTCAGATTATTGGGTCACGACTGTATTTTGATTTTGGCCCACTGCTCATCAGCAAAGTGCTCTAATTTGTCTGGGACAGGTTTGTTTTTTTAAATTATTCTTTTCAACCACAATTCAAACACAACGTCTGCTTCACTAAATTTTAATTTAACACATTTTTACTTATTACTACTTTCTTCAGTTTCTAGTTATTTGAGTGACTATTGTGAATTTTGCCTTTTCTTTAACGGAAGGACATGAATAAATCTGAGGACGACTGTATTTGTGGAAAAAGCTGCAAAAAAAGCAGTTTGTATTCGAAGGTGGACAGCGGTTCACACAAGGTTACACACATTCATACCAGCGGATTAGTGGCAAGCCCAACATCTGGCTCCGGATGTTTTTTTTCCGGAAGTCTGTTTAAAATACACATCTCATTTCAGTCAGAAAATACTGCTTCCTGCTTTTTTTTTTCATGCATCTCCACCCCAACAAACAATTATTCATGTTCCTCCCGTCAGTGGAAATGAACCCAGGCAAACATTAACATTTACAGTCCCTCGCTGTCTCCTTGCGTGAGGAGAGATTTCACAGTCCGGCGCCGGCGACTGCAAAGAGATTGACATGTTTGGCCCACAGTGTCATCGCCGGTCGATCTCCGCCTGTGTCGGCCTCCTGTTTCCTCTCGAAGCAGGTGAACGGAAAAAAAAAAAGAATTCACTTCTGTCTGTCTAAAGTTCATTCACGCGTCGTCTCCGTCTCCAGGTCCAGATGTATTTCTCCTGCCTGCCGGAGGACAAGGTGCCGTACGTCAACAGTCCGGGAGAGAAGCACAGGATCCGACAGCTCCTTTACCAGCTGCCGCCACATGACAACGAGGTAGAGATAATGAGAGAGACAGCGACAGGGTGTGGGAGACGGACTGCTGCAGAGGGAGGGTGGGGAAAAAATCTGAGCTTTTTATTCATATGTGAAAAAAAACATTTATGACTCCAGAACGCTGGGATTGTAATATTGACATAACCACAAAAAAAGCAGCACTTAACCCTCTGAATCCACACATTTGTACTCACTGGCTAGAAGTGAAACCATGCTTTTCTTCTAGTATGACACATTTCTGATGCTTATAGATTATAATAGTTACATTTCTTTGATTATTCATTTTACAAAAATTCCAAAAAACATGAATATTTTTCCAAGTGCCCACATGTGTTACCATCATTGGAATAACAGTGACTTCCAGTGCTTCCCTCCTGTCTCCTCTGTGTGAACACTGCCTGCAGTTCAGCCCAGTTCTCCTGATTGTCCCTGAATTTCAGCCACATCACTGTCAGCTGAAGTTTAGTCACTCGTAGCTCCGCAGTTATGCAGAGTGAATGTTGATCTTTTACAGAATCTGGAAAATGCAAACTTCTTTTGTTTTGTTCTGTGTGCGAGTCCTTCTTAGCTGCACTTTAATTGAAGACAAAGAACAGCTTTCGAAGGTGCAAACTCATTTTGAACAACAAAATAAGATGCATGTCGTGTTAATGGAGTGTTGTTCTAATTGTGACAAGACGAATGGCATATTTGCTTACTTTATGTTGAGTAAGATAACTTGTTGCTTATTTATTTATCTAAGACACCCAAAGCTGGTAAGAAGTTGCAAGTCCTGGAGGCCAATTTCTGTCATTCCAACAACAGAACAAGTTGGGGAAAAGGGAAAATAGAGGTTTCTCCTGTTGCTTTTTCTTCTTTTTTGCTGTTAAGCAGCAGCCACAAGTGCTAAATATGATGGATAGAACTTCATGTGACAGCAGCCCTGAGTGAAACAAAAAAATGTGGCAATTTTAGATGAGACGTGACTCAGCTGGGATAAAGCGAGTTTCTCATCCAACGTTTGACACAAACCAGAAAACGTCATTTTTGTCTCAATATTAGATTTTACCAGCAAGAAAAAAATTTTTTCAACTGCACCCAACCCCGACTAAACTAAAGCCAGCAGCTGAGCAAAGCCTCCACAATCTTTTCTAGTAAAGCTAAAACAATAGGCGCATTCCCTCGGACCTGTGACAGTAAAGCCAGTAAAGCACATGCCTGCCTCTTGTGTATAATAGCTTTATGGTGCGTAAACCGGCACTCCTTTCACATCTGTGTTAATAGAGTTTACATTAGGAGATACGGTGGAGGGTTATCACCTGAGGGACGGAGGTGGTCCCTGTACACACACACACACACACACACACACACACACACACACATGGGAGATACACAATAGGTGCACTCAACAAACACAAACACAGCGTTTGACTGAGCTGCTTTTATGATGTTTGTCGGCAGACCTGGCGGTTGGAGGAAGCAAACCGGCGGAGGATTCTTTGCGTAACTGTGGTTAGGATGAAAAAGCACTGTGCTGTGCCTATGTATATGTGTGTGTGTGTGTGTGTGTGAGAGAGATCGCACACCGGCATCGTTTACTGTTGTTTAGAGAACAACTGAACTGCTTGTTAGGACAGTCTCGGGTCTTTTATCTGAACCGTCATCACCATCTCTAAACACAGAGGAAGGGTTTGTGTATCACTCACGCCATCCTTTCAACGCAGCCTTGAGGGCGAATTAGCTTTAATTAAACGCCCTTTTCCAACCATATATGGACTTTGCATGCGACTTTTTGAGGATCACACAAAGATGAAAGCCCAACCATCAGCGATAATGGGTGGAGTGCTATTTTCTCCTCTTCCTCTAAACCATCATTTGACCTCTCTGTTCTTTTTCTTTTACACCAACTTAGGTGCGCTATTGCCACTCTCTAAGCGAGGAGGAGAAGAGGGAGCTCCACATGTTCAGCACCCAGAGAAAGAGGGAGGCGCTGGGGAGAGGAACACCCAAGATCCTCCCGCGAGCTCTGCAGCACACCCGCTGCGAAAACGTAAGTGCCGCGACTAGGAAAGCAACTCTGGAGTTATTTATATCACCATCCCGTCCCGAAGCACGGCAGCCCGAGGCACGACCCTGATTGCCTAATATAGCGGTTTTAATCACCGACATAAACTTCCTCATTAGGGCGAGGGAGGAAACGGGGAAATTGGGAGGCTCATGTTTAAGCCGAGCGGAGAAGCCAGTTCCTCGTGAGGAATTCAGCCAATTTCCTGCTACCCATCTACGTCGCAGCATGACACAGTGCAAAAAAAAGAAGCGTACAGGTTAATAAGTAATTCTTGCGTAAAGTCTCTAAAATCCAGAGTGTGTTCTGGATAGTTCCACATCTACTGGAATTCTTACATCTCTGCTCAGGAGCTGCAGCTGGTTTTATTCTCAAATCTTGGAAAAAAACTTTGGAGATGAGATGTTTCTGAGAACACCTTGGCTCCATTTTGATGTTCCATGCCATGAACAAACACAACAATCCTAAAAGCGGACTTCTTCCATACTGTTGATCTGATGATGCTGTTTTAAACACAACATCCAAGCTGCCCTTGATCATATTTCTGAAAAATTTCCTTTCAGTGCAAACAAACATAAATATTAGTGTTATGTGGCTTCCGCCGAATTGAGGCCTGACAAGTGAGCGGACCACATCCTCCGCCATGAGGAGCAGATGAAGCGCAGTCATGTTAATTCCTTCCCAAACCCTGAACGGGCAGATGAAGTCCGTCACCACTCAAACACAGATGCTGACACGCGGATGCAAGGTCGCACAACTTGAACTGGGGACGCACACATTGTTAGACACTCTGGACATGTGCGTTCATAAAAACCTATGCAAACACAACCCGGTGGCACCCACTCGCTCATGCGTTCAAGGATTTATCACGAAGACGTTCGGATGTACACACACACACACACGCAATCACGTCCGCCCACACATGTTCACACACAGTTTGTCAGGCTCCAGTTTCCCGGTGCCTTAACTCTCAGGGACACACAACACCCCTGTATCCAAGGCCCCTGTCTGTCCACCCGGGTAATAATGGTTAACAGCTGGGCATGCTATCCCATAGCTGCCTATGGGAGCCTCATAAGTCTGCTATATAAAGACTGCGCGTTCAGACACGCTCCGATGATCTCTGTGGAGTCATTCGATCTTTTGACTCAGGACCAAGGCCGGCGTTTTCTGCTTAAGATCGAAACAGCGTGCAATTTTTCATCAACATCGAATGAATAATTGATGATTTTGTACTTCAGTAAAACAGTCACCGACTGAAATGCGGAGAAAGACCATTAAGAAGTTTCAATCTGACGATGTTAGTAAAGCAGATATGGTTAGACGGTTGGATTCATGCACTTTTATCATTTCCACATTAACCCATTTACTTCATTTCTTATGTTTATACAAAGCCCTCTCTTCATGAAAATACTGGGTGGTGCCACCAGTCTGTTCTGTTTTTAGCAAGCTGTGTTTTTGTTGCCGTGGAAAGATGACATTTTTGCAATGACAGTCATCGTTGCACGATTCACTGACGGGTTTTGAATGGATCGTATTCCTCTGGCATGTACAGTATGATCACCTGTTGTTTGGCCTTGTTTCTTTTAGCATCAGTGTAAATGAAACACCAGCAGATACATGATATATTTTGAATAGCTATCTCTATAATCTCTCTTTTGTTTGTGCTGCATTTGTTACAGGCAGCAACTGTATCACACACCTTTTTCCGGATGCCATTTGTTCTCCATAGTTTATTCTAAAGTTAGAATGTTTATTAACCCTCATTCTTCACCGTTTAAAATATGGAGCTCATAAATTATCCGTTGCCTGTGTTTGTCAGTGTTGTGGAGGCATCAACGGAGGGGAGATGGCAATCTTCGCCTCCAGAGCAGGACCAAGCCCCTGCTGGCACCCGGCATGCTTTGTGTGCGCCACATGTCAGGAACTGCTGGTGGATCTGATCTATTTCTACCAAAATGGCAAAATCCTCTGTGGAAGACACCACGCTGAGCTTCTCAAACCACGATGCTCTTCTTGTGATGAGGTAAATGGCAGCTACAGCAACACCACCCACCACTATAAATGTGATGTCATTGTCAAATTCATTGGTCGCCACAGAATTAACAGTTCACTGTGTGTTCCCCTTTAGATCATCTTTGCAGATGAGTGCACTGAAGCAGAAGGCCGTCACTGGCACATGAAGCACTTTGCCTGTTTTGAGTGTGAGACGATGCTGGGAGGGCAGCGGTACATCATGAAAGACGGACGGCCCTACTGCTGTGGCTGCTTTGAGTCACTGTATGCAGAGTACTGCGAGGCCTGTGGCGAAAACATTGGTAAGTTGTGTTTGTGAGGTGTGAGAAAAATGTTCGCTTGTTTAATTATCAGTCTTTTGGGATCAGATTAAGTGTAGACCCCCCTTATGACACCAAAATAGTTGTAACCCATTGGGCCATTGACACCTAGACCTCTGGAGGTGTCTTGTGGTGTTGTGCTTGTTCTGGTGCAATCGGATCAAGATCTAGAAAATTTGGAGACCAGGTCAACATCTTAGGCTCTTTGTCATGTTCCTCAAGCCATTCCAGAGGATTTTATGTGGTGAGGCAGAGTACATTGTCCTGCCAGGGGAGGCCACTCCCACCAGACAGTGCCTTTACTGCTGAGGGGTTCATCCAATGCCAGTACCTAAGGTTCCCCAACCAATCATTGTGTTGCAATGAAATTATCAATTTTATTCGCTTCTCTTCTCAGTGCTTCAATTTTGTGGCTGATCAACATGAGTAGAACTACACCAAAGTTCTATATCCACATGTATAACGTGATGCTCTGCTTTTCTTCAGGTGTTGATCATGCCCAGATGACCTATGAAGGTGTACACTGGCACGCCACTGACCAGTGCTTCTGTTGTGCCCAGTGTAAGACGTCTTTGCTGGGCTGTCCCTTTTTGCCCAAGCAAGGCCGCATCTATTGCTCAAAGGCCTGCAGCCAGGGGGAAGATATTCATGCCTCAGATTCGTCCGATTCTGCGTTTCAGTCTGCCCGTTCACGTGAATCGCGACGCAGTGTCCGCATGGGGAAGAGCAGCAGGCCTGCTGAACAGTGGAGACAGTCTCAGCTGTTTAATCCTCCTCCAACTGTCCCTTCGTTTGAGCACAAGTTTGGAGATGGCGAGGGTGATGGAGATGCAGATGGCGACATTGATATTGTTGGGCGTAAGCTGGCCCGTCTTGGCCTGGAAGAGGAGAGGTTCTGGAGGGAGCGGGAGGAGCAGGACGGCGGGGGAGAGGAGGATCCAGAGGAGTGGGCTCAGCATGAGGACTATATGACTCAGCTCCTGCTTAAGTTTGGTGACCACGGGATGCTAAACCAACTTCAGCAGCCATCCCTAAAATCTCCCAGTCCTACTAGTGACAGAAACAGGCTAATAAGTGATCCCTGGCTAAAGCCTGATTCTACATCTATGGGGATCTCTGCCTCCTCTCCCACCCCTGCCAGTCCCACCCAGAGTCAGACTTCCAGTCAGTCCCGAGCCAACAGCCTCAGCCCTGGATTGATGAGCAAGAAGCACCTGCCTGAAATGTACTGGGCGCAGTCGCAGGATGGACTGGGAGACTCAGCCTACGGGAGTCATCCAGGTCCTGCCAGTGCCAGAAAGATCCAAGAGCTGGAGCTGGACCAAGATCAGGAGCAGTCTGTGGCAGGAAGACAAGCTTTCTGGACAGACACCAGGCAGTGGTATGAAGACTCCCTAGAGTGTATTGCTGATGAGCTGAGGAAGGTTGAGAAGGGCGTTGGAGACTCTATGGACTCCCTGGCACTTTCAAATATCACTGGTAAGGACAGTGATGGTTGCATTGACTCAGTTATAACTTCTGTTAATATTAAAAACATTTTCAAAACAGATTTTTCCTGTTCACCCTTTTTAGGTGCATCAGTGGATGGAGATGGTCGGGATAGACCTGTCGTCTACACTCTAGCCTTGCAGGATCCCTCAGTGCCAGATGACCCTGAAAAGATGAGCAACATGGGAACGTTTAATTCATCTCATCTTCATCATAGTGCCAACTCTCTCAACGTCGACAAAGCAGATGAGGAGGCAGAGGAGGAGGTAGCACTTGCAATGAGGGGAGGCACCCCGGGGGGAATCCTCGCACTGTCCCCACATTCAGAAGGCCTCACTCCCTCCTTTGTTCATGCCCCAGCTCTGAGGAGGAGCAAGTCCCAGTCCAGGCCTCCTCAGGTGGTCAAGTTCTCAGAGGACACTGTGGACAATGGATATAATGATGGATATGAGGTCAATATTAGAAAACATCCCATGAGCGAGAAGCCGCAGAGGAGGGCATACTGCCCAGAAGAGATGGGAAGAGAAAGAACCCGCCCTACAAGCCACCATGGTCGCAGCAGGCAGCACCACCACCGGCAAGGTCGGCACCACAGGAGCCGCAAAACCCGCTCGGATAACGCCCTTCACATGGTGCCTTTGGAGAAAGCACAGAGGCCATATGAGCCCCAACAGCAGGGCCTGGTAAACCCTCCATGTGGTGCTATGCTCCTTCAGCATCCCCCACACAGGCTGCCACTGGCCTACTCCCACACCCGGTCGGACTATATGCTTCGGAGCTCAACCCGAAGTGACCCACGGGTTGAGCAATTCATGGGTATCTACAGAGATGAAGATGAGTGGTGCTCTACTTGCTCTTCCTCATCGTCGGACTCTGAGGAGGAGGGTTATTTCCTGGGCCAGCCAATCCCTCAGCCTCGACCTGCTGGGCGCTATTATGCAGAGGACTACCCAACAAGGGTCACAGCCCTGTCGCCACAGAGCCTTGGCCCACAGACTAGTCGCCGGAAGAGCCACCGTTCCAAAAACTGTATTATTTCTTAACAGCGTGGAGTGTACTTACATTATAATCTGCACTACACTAAGCAATACAGTCAAGATTTTCTGATTATACTGCATGATATTTTACATCTGGGGTAAGGGAGGCAGCACTAACAGTTGATGCATGGCCAGACATCAAGATGCATATCATATTCCAGTACAAAATCTACTGAAAGAAGAAATCTTCAATTTGAACTGCTAAGGTGGAAACGAGAACATGAAGCTGTGCAACATATAGTCAGAAAATCACTTATTGTGTGTGTGCAAAGTCGGCTCAGATTCTGGGTCTTACTGAATTTTAGCACTAATAAGATGCATGGACTGATAAAGTTGGAAGCCTTTGTTTTGACAGTGCAGACCACAGTTATGTACAGTTGGCAGTGGAGACATTAAACTTGTTCTTTGATTTCAGCTTTTGCCATTACGTTTTTGTTTTTGTTTTTTAAATGGTTTATGTTCAGTTAAGTTTTGCAGCAGTATCTTTGTGAGCATTCAAACGACAATGCTATTGTACACAGAGGTTGGTAATTAAAAGTAGAAAATAGAAACTAACCAAATAATTATTTAATGCATAATAGTACAAAATGAAAATGTATATACTAAGTTAAGATTTTAATACTGGTATTTTTATATCCACGGTTGAAAGAATTGTTCCGTTTGAAGTGTATGATTAAAAAAAAAATAGCAGTTGTATTAGTGAGGTGACTTCTGTAATATTTTATGAGAAACAACAAAGAAGGTGCATTAACAGTAAAGTGCCATGTTATCCAGACACATCTGCCACAATATATATTCCACAGTACTCAATATTGGTGTAAAAACTATAAACCGACTGGCAGTCAAGCCCAGCTACCATTGCTCTGACATAACCAGCAAAATGCTTTGTGATGTAAAGATGCTTGTAATAAATATTTTTCTCCAAAGCTTCAAAAACGACTGTTTGTTGCATTTCTGAGTTTAAACCATAGACTGTATAAAAGATGGATGTAGCTACCGTGACGTCACCCGTTTGTTTCTGCACTGAGAAAATGAAGCCAGGGTTTTGCTACTTCCTGGTTGACATCTTGGATTTTTGGAGCCAGTGACGCAAAAATCGTCAGAGGGGGGCGGAGCCATAGGAGCAGCGATTGGTCAGACGGATTGAGAGGAGGGCCCTCTCTGCCCGTCCACATTTACCACCTTCTGCTCGCTTCGTCTGTATGGTCGCTGCCGACTGTCAATCAAGCCAGCCACGCCCCTTGCCCCGCAAAATTTTGACGATTTTTAAAAAATTCAGTATTGATTTATTTTCAGATTGGCCACCTGATCTCTGGACTTCACCATGAAAACTAATTTTTAAAAAATCCTGAGCTGGAGGAATGCGGTATTTTGTGATCTGTGATCACTTCTTTTCCAATTCATTTCTATGGGAGCCAGGGCTTTTTGGAGCCAGGACGAGCGGACGTAGTGATATTGCAGGTTTTTGGTTTGAATCCTTCATCTTGCAACTCGCAAATTGTAGTAGTGGTGTTAAAGTGGCATGCACCAAATACTCAGTGGGATTTTTTTTTGTAAGATCTTTCACAAATAGGATTTACAGTGGCATGCTAAAGTTTGGTCAACATTTCTGTTGCTGTGAATGGCTAAGCTAGCAACAGAGCAGCTTATCTTCAAATGGGATAAATTTAAAGATGACATGTCTTTAATTTTTTAAGCAAGAGTATTTTTATTTCCAGTTTTTTTTTTTTTGTTTATTTTTTACCGTTCAAAATAACCAAAAAATGAAAAGGCCCCAAAGGAAAAAAAAAAATTGGGCACCCTGAATTTGTGTAGTTTTTTTGAGAGACAATAGTGAGAAAACAAAAATGAGGCGACACAAAGAAAATGAACTCAACTGGCATTTCTAGACAGTACAAATTTATACAAGAACGCCAAACTGGTGTAAATTTAGCAGCACCGAGTCATATATCTGACTGCTACAAAATAAGAATTTACAGATTGTGGAAATACTACAAAATGTGTGATCATGCTGGAGAACTGACAGTCAGTTCTCAACAATGTGTCTTCATCAGAAAAGGTTAAATAATGAACCCCCACGTGAACCATTTCCACAACGATGTCAGACTAGCGTCATTTTAAATAAAGAAAATATGCTTTTTTCGGACAACATTTGACAGAAAAAAAAAAACAAAAAACCTTTGAGGAATATTTTTATAATTAACAATTTCAAACAACAGAGAACTTTAAGGTAAAAATGATCTGTTCAAAAATAACACTGTTCATTCCTCCACACGACGCATCCTCTGTCCATTACTGCTGTGCTGTTTAAGGGGCTCAGCTCGGCAGTCCAAAACCCGAGCGGTTAATCCTACCAGTCTCACATTAATAACGCAGATCAGGCCAAATGTGTCAGTAGGATGAGCTGTGATTGACGCCTGTCTTTGAAAGTTTATGACCCGTCAGGGACGTCGAAGCGGTGGTTGAATCGCAAGCCGAGGGCTCTTGCTGCCGAACCACCTCGTCCAGCTCGTCGATGAAATGTTTGAGGTCCTCCAGGCAACGCTCGCGGATCTCCCCGAGGTTCTCCCTCAGGGGAACCTGCAGCTGTTTCTCCAAGTTTGGATCTTTGGCCACCAGCATCTTCACCACCATTCCAAACGTCTCACAGTCCTGACGGTACACCTGGACGACGACAGGAAAGTTTTTTTAAGAAAAAGTAGTTGGTAAAATGTCAAACTATACTTTCAAAACCCTCTCAGGAGACACATGTACCCTCATTTGTATGCAGATTCAGGTCTGAACAGAGAGTAAAGCATCACCAGCTTAGAGAGCAAAGCTCCGAACTGAGGCGATGATTAGCCGTTTCCTTCCTTCCTGTTCTACCTGTCGCCTGGGTGTAAACACTCCAGCGCCTGAGCTGATCACTGTGGTGTTAACACACATCATGTAGTGTCAAAAGATAAACACTTCTCCTCTCAAGTTTAACAGGGGGACTTTATACAGGACAGAGCGGCCCAAGAAGCAATAAAACCTCAATTCAGTGGTGGCTCAGAGGCTTGTAACAGGTGTTAGAGGGACAATGAGGACGAGGTGCTGGAATCTTGTTTGGCAGCTGCCATTTCACACAGAGCCTCAAATGTCTCATAAAACAATGGAGGCAGCCCGTCGCTTCCACACAGAGCTGTTTGATTTGCAAAATACCAAAGCAGAGATCCAACTAATGACACTTCACATGAGCTGACGATGAAATTCCAGAAGGGGAAAACAACAGTCAGCTCAACCGATGATAACACTTAGAAGCCAGCATTTCACAAGGGAGGTAAAAGCTCTAGACCAGAGCTGCAACTAATGATTACTTCCACTGTTGAGTATTTCCCCAGTTAATCCATTAGCAGCTTGATCTCTAAAATGGCAGAAAATGGTGATAAGGGTAAATCAAGATGACGTCCTCAAGAGTTCTGTACAGTTCTCAGATCAAACATGTTTAGTTTACTGTCACAGTGGACCTAAGGAACCAGAAAATACTCAAATTTAAAAAGCTGCAATCAGAGAATTTGGACTTTTTTCCTTTAAAAACAACTACTGAAGCTTGTCAATGATCAAAATAGTTGCTGATGAACTTAATAGCTGACAAATTGGTATTAATGAGAATTGTTGGAGCCAAAAATAAGCTGAGAAATGCATCTCAAAACATGCAAGGTCACACATTTTCTGAATAAATGGAAAATAACACCTCAGTTATTCACCTCTACTTCTATGCTGCACTCTTTCTGCTCCTCCAGTATCTAATGATTTCTCTACTAAATCTCTTTATGCCTCGACCGTGTGAGTCAGCTCCCCGGCATGACTCAGTGGAAGTGAATTAACCCACGGTGCTGCTGCTTGCTGCGTCAAGCATCACACGCCGCCGGCTCATACGAGGGCACTTCCGGTGACGAGGGCAGATGTGTTTACATGTGCTTAGTGGGTAAACTTAGGCAAAAGTGCATTTTAGTCATCGTGCGGATAGTAACAGTGGCTCCTGTGCTGCGGGGCGTTTTGGCTCACTGGCTTATTTATAGATTTTCACAGCGTTCCTCGAAAGAAGACGACGCTTGAAGAAAAAGAGAGGTTATAAATGGAGATCTGCTGTCAAACGGGGTTAATGGACTTTAAATGACGGATGGCAACGTTCAAAAATGTGCAGTAAAGAAATAAAAGACCCCTGTGGTTATACAAGAGCTACACATCGCTTAATGGCAAACGTGTTCGCTATAACTGCACATGTGGGTGTTAACTAATTTAACATTTCTAAACCACTGCACCACGTAAACCGGTATATTTAGCTGATAATAAATTGTTATCGGTAAAAAGTAAGGAAACTGACAGATGCTAGCTTGTTAGCACATGATCTGTTTTAACGTTAGCTTGAAGAGTAAAAGACGTCTGAGGATACGGTTGACAGATCTGATTTGGAAACTGATCAAAATGTAGTTTAATAATGAGGAAACCTGAGGAAATTCAAATTATGTTCCACAAAAAAAGTCATTAAATTATGAAATGTAATGCCACCAACATAGAACAGATCACTCATTGACTTAGTTTAGCTTAACTTAGCCTAACTCTGAAACCTAAACCCATCGGCAGGTTTGAAAGGCGGGTTATCTTTTGAAAATTGCAAAAAAAAAATTGCACCAACATGTCGAACCAGAAACTATAAAACAGAAAGAATCTGTGGATGTTCAGCTTTCCAACAAGTAATCATTTGTGGTGTGCGTTAGAAAAATGAACCAAATCTAAGCTTAAAATCGTGATATTTCATAAAAATAACTTGATTCTACAGGTCTTGGTTTAAAAATTAGCCAAAGATAAATTATTGGCATTAACCAGATTCTGAAAAAAGGGACAAAATTGTGAAGAAAGGTCATTTAGAAACTTTTAGAGCAAAAATTCAGGGACTTTTTGGCTGAACTGGGCCAAGTCTGGACATTCCTCACTCATTCGTAACAGCAGGAATTTGACTACTTTTCAAACACAGGCTGCTGAATCCTTTGACGCTGCAGTGACGATGACATAATAGTTTGTTTTGATTAAATGGCATTAACTTCACACCGACTCATTTACACTCGATTAAAGTCAGACAGCTTCCGGGCTTCACTTGTGCAACGTAAATCACTACTTCTTAAAAAAATTTAGAGCCAACTTTCAGCACAGACGTACTGGAGGGTTTCACAAACTGCTTGTTCAACCTAATCCAGGCGTCTCGTGGTTTACAAAAACAGCCAACAGAGGCAATACAATAAATGAATTTACAGGAAATTTGTGGTGAACACGAGGACACAAACTGTCTCAGGAAAAACTGCTGACGCACAACTAACGCTGTCTCCTCTGGGCGTTTCCATACATTCCTCAGGGACAATAAATGATCAAGCAATCTGTACAAAAAAGGGAGAGGCTGATGGCTGTTCTCTCCAAGATGCCGGATTTAGTAACAAAACATTGTCCTTTTCTTTTTTTATAATCAATGTGCTATAGTGTTGTTCAACAGCTGATAAGTGACAGTGAATTTATCTGATTTTACTGAGGAAGTATCCAATCAGCGTGCGGACAACAGCTTCTATGAATACAGGAAAAGTCGATCCTAAACAACAATGTGCTGAAAACGTGCTTCCTGAAATCCCCCCTTGTTGCCCAATCAGGAAGGAAAGGACCGGTTCTTGACATTGGGTGCGGTTGTCGGGGAATAAGAGCATCTGTTTCAGGGTTCGTCTGTGTTTACCCTTGCAGAACAAATTCTTCTTTAAACCTCGCTTCCTATAGGCTGTTAGGGGACTGTGTATAGAATGGCTCTGTATATTTTGTCATGGTGGAAGATTAAGAGTGACTGTGTGAGACTGCCCCGGCTTCAGAAATGAGAGAAACAGAACAAGAATAAAAGAGAGCCGGGGCCTCAGTCCAGTTCTGCCATCTTTGTACCTAAAAAAAAAAAAACCTCAAGAGGCTGGAACTGTCTGGATTTCTATCTTGCGGCCAAATATATTTAGATTCCTCAACAAATGAAATAAAACTCCCTTTGTATCACAGCCTGGGCTATGAGGAGCAAAACATAATACCCTTTATTGCCTCTCATGCCTTGTCACTCACTGTAACCAGTTAGTCTGTACTGCAGCCAAAGTCAACTCCGACAATGAGACCGGGTTCAGGTTGAATTTCAGCAGACCAACTTCACTTAGCCACACAAACACTGGTTGAGGCCCTGGTATAACGCTGCCCAGCACGGCGTCTGCGCGATGATGGAAAGTTCAGCTTGTGGTCTTGTGAGAAGTGTAGAGACAGTTGGTGCTCTTTCAGGGGGGGCTACTGGTTTCTGAGTGTTTGTGTCGGTGTGTATAGAAGAGATGGCTAGACCAGATTGGGTGCAGAAAAGCCAAACATCTGGCTGACACTTGTCAAGCGGCTAAACATGAGCGCCCAACGCACCGGGAGCACCGCCGCGACGTCGACGGCGCACATGTGAAAGTGCCTTTGTTGTTTCAGACGGAGGGGGGAAAAAAGAACGGTTAACTTAAGTGCGTTTAGCTGCGTGTTCGGGGCGTGATGGGAAATTAATACCAGCCACCTGACAGGCGCTTATAAATTTTCCAGCGGCCGGTTGGTATGTCTGCCGCTCTGGAGGATAAATAACCGTCATGTGAAAGCAACTCTCTCTGGTTTGTATTTCTGTTTATGAATGTCTCAAGGATTAAAAATGTGTGTGAAGAAAAAAATAGACTTTATGCAACTGTGGTATTTTAACCCTTTGAACCCCAAGCAGTTTCTGGGCATTTTATTTTTTTTACCCACTGTGAGCTCATTTGTCACTGCAATGTAAAGTCCTGCACCTCTATGGAAACAGCACAAGTATGGCTAGAAGAAGACAGAACTCAGAGTTGACTTTTGTGCCATATGACAAAATAATTATCCCATAAATCAGATTTTGATTATTTATTTTACTATAATTGAAAAATGCTGCACATGTTGATTCAATTTTTTCCCCAAGTGCCCACAGGCAACTCTACATATTATATATATTTCACTACTCCATCCGTCCATTTTCTATACACCGCTTAATCCTTACTAGGGTCGCGGGGGGGGCTGGAGTCTATCCCAGCCGACTTAGGGCGAAGGCAGGGGGACACCCTGGACAGGTCACCAGTCTATCACAGGGCTACACTTAGAGACAGACAACCAAGCACACTCACATTCACACCTACAGACAATTTAGAATCACCAATCAACCTCAACATGTTTTTGGACTGTGTGGGAGGAAGCCGGAGAACCCGGAGAGAACCCACGCTGCACAGGGAGAACATGCAAACTCCACGCAGAAAGATTCCGGTGCCCCCTACCGGGACGCGAACCGGCGACCTTCTTGCTGCGAGGCAACACCAACTGCTACCAGTGCTACCAACTGCGCCACCCTGCAGCCCTATTTCACTACTTACATTTTTAATTTGTTTCCACACTTCCTGTCTGCTATGTGTAAACACTGCCTGCAGTTCAGCCAAACCAGTCCTGAACTTCCCATTTGCAAAGACGAGTGCAGCATTTTAGATTTTTACAGGGAAAAAAAAAGGTGGTTTTGCTTAAACATAACAAATTCAAGCTTGAATCTGCGTGCTAACTTTCCCAACAAAACTGAAAGTGACACATGATAAGTTCAAGGACTGTTTGTGAGTTAAGAATCCAATGCGCCTATCTGTTTTCACAGTTTCTGGCTCTGATAAATGGTGTAATTTTGTCATTTTTTCTAACAAATCAACATGCCTTTCTAAACCAGCCAGCAGGTTTTTGTGGTTCAGATGGTTAAAAATATGCTGCTTTCTATTTCATTCTATGATCTTTCTATTTTCTAAGAAGGCAAGTCAGAGGGGGGAAAAAAATGATTCAATTACTTATTTTCTGGCCTCAGGAGCGCGACTAAACAATCGAGCTTCTCATGAAAGAGGGAGCGAGCGGCTGCCAAATCACAAACAACCTTCATGCACAGGATCTGGATATCACAAAAGCTAGAAAAATGGGACGAGAGAAGGGAAAAGCTGGAATTGTCAGTACAAATGGATGACTATCTAAGAATCAGAAATCCTGGAAAGAAAGCCTGAAACCTCATATCCCTGTGAAGATGTGAAAATACATTGTGCCTTCTCCGTTTTCTTTTTAAACTGTTCTTCTCTCTCCAGACAGCAACTCTGTGACTACATTTGAAGATAGCAGACAAGAATGAGTTATAGCGACAACAGCGAGCGAGCATCAGTCTGTAATAAAGCACCTACGGATTCCTGACATGGATCTTGGTAATCGTTTCCAAAATGTGTCTGCGCTGACAATGAAATAAAGCTCACACGGCTTAAACGCTATACAGTTTGGCTTATGAAATGAATGAGAGGAGACACAGATGGGGGAGAAAGAGACAGGCTATAAAACAGGCCAGAAGCTGCAGCGTCAGCAGCACCGCTATAACGGCCTATAGGCTCTGTGGCGCAGCTCCATGTGAGCGCCTGCTTCGGGGCAGAGCTCGCTCAGGTTTAATGGTCTCAGTAAACCAGCGGTAGCGCTCGCTGGTGCAGGAACGGCCTTCATTAGATAACCGAGCAGAGCTGGAGCCTCGAGCCCGGGGTGGTTTCAGCTCTGTTAAGCGCTCGACCTCTCGTTTTATTGTATGCGCAATCCTACACCGTGTTTAAGCTCCATTTAGTTGCTGCCTCAGTTTATATGTTCCTGTAGCATGTGCAGTATTCTTCTATCTCCCTGTGTGGAGGCCACTAAATATGTGAGCATTTATAGGGATGAGGCAAACACCGAGGGAACGTTGTGATGTTCCAGCCTTGTGGGATTTTAAGGTGGTTTTGGGAATAATGAGGAGTTCTTGCAGAAGATAAAGAAGCGCCAGCAGGAAAATGCTGTTAAATCCAGCAACCGGCTTCCTTCGCTTCACTTTAAACTGTTATGTGGCTGTTAACGGCGAAACCGGTTGGCTAAAACGTGGGATGTGCCGACCACTGCGACTCGAGGGCAGAGAAGTTAATTTCCTGCCTTGTTGGGTGCATAATAGGTAACTGCTTCAGTAATGCCTATCTAGTAAAAGTACCCATGTGTGAGTCAGAGAACCCAAGGCCACCACATGTATGGAAACACATGCCAAGTTGTTCAGTATGTGTTTTGCATGGCCAGAGTTGACATTTATAGAAAAGTCTGACAAATTACCAGTTTTTAATGAGAGAATTGTGAAAGCAGAGATTTTTTCCAAAGCAACAACTGAGAGCCACTGAATCTTTAAAATAGCTCCATATTTCCCCTTAATACTGCAACATCTCTCTCCACAACAGTGATGCATCATCTTTTATACTTTGGCTCAAGTACAATAGTGAAAGACGTACGCAGCAGCATAGCAGCACATCAAGCCAAGATTATAGTAATATAACAAAAAAACCCAAGCACTTAACTGCTACTTTGGAACTCATTTTCAACTTGGTCCACTTAAGAGAGTCAGCGAAATGTGAATACAAGCTGTGGCGTGTTGTACCTTTTCTATCTCCTGGGCTTTGGTTGCGATGGCCAGGGCTCGTCGCTCTTGAAAGTTGTCTGTAGATTTTTGGCTTTCTTCCACGACAGGAGCCGCTGGTGGCTCTTCTTTTTCACCTTCTGGGGGATGGTTCTCCTCCTAAAAGAAGAGGGGAGACACTGCTTTACCGCAAAACTAAGAAAAATGGTGCTTTTAAGCAATAACTGTCACAGCATGAGAGAAAGGAAAACAGTTTATAAATCGAGGAATCTATGGCGGATAACCACAGGAGTCACGATTATGAAAACATTTGTAAATATTTGAAAAGTGTACCACTGCTCTGACAGATATGGCACAATGCTCGTAATTACATGATAAAGAGAAGGGAAAAGCACGTAGGTCAGTAACTCAGTGCTCTGCTCTGACCTACTGACTTTACAGGAAAGATGTGGTTGGCGAGGCATGGTAAAGGGTGAAGCTTAGACGTATAGACAGTATCTTCAGTGAATAGGAAGCACAGCCAGACCAGCCGTGATTAGCCAACTAATGGGCAGACTGGAAACTCAGCCCCCACAAGTATTACTGTAGAAGCCAAAAGAGAGAGCAAAGGGGAGAAACGAGGCCAACTTGGATCACTGCTTAATTTCTTTTGCTCATTTCCTGATACTATTTGAGCTTGAAGGCCAAGGAACAGAATTGCCCAACCATGACTAAAGTCCGCTCACAACATTAAAGGAAACAGGCCACGGACTAAGTCATATTTCATCCCCAGATGACTGAGAAAAGAAATTACAGGAGAAGGTACATCACAAAGCCGAGTGTAGACTAAAATAAGAAAGAAAAAAAAAGAAGCACAACTCATGAAGCATCATCCAATTAGTCCTCCTTCCTACTCCCTCCCTGAAGCTACGCTCAGGAGAAGTCTCCTGTATACGCTTGTGCACGTATGAAAGATCGCGTTTGTCAGCCTTCTTGGCCTCAGTATAAAAAAAAAAACCATCCCCGTCTGAGTCTTTCATTTCAACTGGCTGGGCACAACCCAACCTGGAAGGGATGTTTCACTCTTGATACACAGCTTGGCAGATATATTTTCTGCAAACTGGAGTAAATTAAAAGTCCAGGGGTTTAGGTAATCTCTTGTAGACGCACTACTAAAAATGAATAATGGTTATCACACCAAAAGAGATGCTTCTAGTCATTTTTTTACTGAGAAAAGAAGTTTGTTTGATTTGGAAAACTGTGAGCTGAGATTTAAAAGGTTGGAGCTCTGCAGAGTCCTTCTTACTGTGCTTTAATAAATAGTTCTGATTATGATGGATGACTTTTCTTACTCCCACTGAGAACACGCCAGACACACTGGGAGGAAAGATCAAAGTTTTAGCGTCGCGCATTCAGAATCAATGATCAAGAGCATTTTTTTT